CATCCTTCTTCTGTCCCAGTCTCAATACCAACTACGCATTCACCTATCCTGGATGACCCACCTTCTCCAAAACTTAGGATTCTTGGTGAATTGGGAGAAATCAATTCTACAACCCTCCACATGTATGGAATTTCTGGGTTTCCAAGTGGACTCTGTTCAACAGAGATTGTGTCTACCCAAAGACAAAATGATTTCGATCAAGAAAGAGATCAGACGACTTATGAATCGTACGACCATTTCCCTCCGACAACTTGCGAGGATAATAGCATCGTCCATACAGGCAATCTTCCCGGGACCGTTACATTATCGTGCCCTACAAAGGCTCAAAGCCTCATACCTACGCTCCAGTCACTCATGCGAAACCTGTGTTATACTGGACGAAGACTCCAGGGAAGAGCTGGACTGGTGGCTAGCCCACATGGAGGCATGGAACGGATGTGCGATATTTGGATTGATGCCCGATCTGGTCATAGAGTCGGACACCAGCTTACATGACTGGGGCGCGCATTGCAGGTCAGTTTCCACCAGTGGTAGATGGTCAAACGAAGAATCGCTGTTACACATCAACTGCCTAGAACGATTAGCAGCGTCCTTTGCCATTCGCAGTATGACCCCCACAGGCATTTCATGCTCGATCTTAATCAAGATGGACAACATCTCAGCGGTGCGTTATATCAACCATCTAGGAGGGACGAAATCCAAGGTGCTCACTCTGATGGCTCGAGATTTTTGGCACTATTGCCTGGAACACAGCATTTCGGTAATAGCAGAATACATTCCGAGGCAATACGATGGCAGATTGGAACTCCCGATACCTTTGGGACGCAGCGGATTGGCATCTCCACCCAATGATTTTCCAGCGCCACTCTCGATTCTGGGGACCTTTCAATATAGACCTCTTTGCGTCTCGTCTAAACACCCAGCTCCCTCGGTTCTTCAGTTGGAGACCGGATCCAGATGCTCTGGCGACAGATGCATTCCTAAAGGACTGGACCAAGGGCAGGAACTACACTTTCCCCCCTTTCAACCTCATTTCTCGGACCCTAGCGGTCCTTCGATATTCCAGGGGAACACTGGCGCTTGTAACCCCGTTATGGAGGTCACAACCTTAGTTTCCTCAGTTATTGGAAATGTCGATAGATTTCCCACAGTTGTTGCCGGAGATGCCCTACCTGTTGACCAACCAAGAGGGAATGAGTCACGAACTGTCCGACCAGGGTCTACTTCAACTGATGACATGGCTCATTTCAGGAGATCATGGAATCTCGAGGAGGTTTCGCAGACGACACTCAGTCTCTTGGCAGAGTCATGGGCACCAGGTACCAGACGTGCCTACAGCTCAGCTTGGAGAAAGTGGACTGATTGGTGCGTGGGACAGTCAATGGATCCCATATCAGCGCCTACAAAAGCAATTCTACAATTTCTGACCCTACTCTTTGAGGAAGGAAAAGCCTTTCGTACTATAAATCTGTACAGATCAGCCATATCAGCGAGACATATGGGGTTGGATGGCACCCCAATAGGTAAACATGCTCTTATCTGTCGTTTACTCAAAGGCATCCGTCTTACTCGACCTCCTCAAACTCAATATTCTTCCTTTTGGGATGTCAATATGATCTTTCATTTGATCAAATCTTGGCCAGTGAACCAGGAACTTTCTCTAAAGCAATTGTCGGCCAAGCGGCTGATGCTGTTTTGTTTACTTTCATGTAAACGGGTTACTGATGTCAGAGCGCTAGACTGGCATGCACGAGTTTTTGTCCCGAACGGAGTATCCTTTAATATTTCAAGTAGGGCAAAATCCTCGAGTAAGGAAGTTTTCTACACGTCGTTTCCGGACACCCCAAATTTGTGCCCTGTGTTATGTCTGAAGGAATACGAGCATCGTACGGCCTCACTCCGTCTAGAGCAAAAACATCCATTATTCATCTCGTTCAAAGTACCTCACCTACCAGTATCATCTACTACTTTAGCTCGTTGGATCAAATGGTTGATGTCAATGGCAGGCATAGACACCTCAATTTTTTCCTCACACTCCATTCATGGGGCTATGGCCTCTAAAGCCGCCACGATAGGTTGTAAATTGGAGGATACCCTACGGGCAGCCGACTGGTCGAATAAGTCTACATTTCGTAATTTCTATTTTCGCCCAGTACAACACATTTCCAGTTCAGTGATTAAAATAGCATAATAGGAGCCTCCGTGTCTTTAATAAAATTACCATTTTTTTACTATTAACATGACGTAAAGTCAGACGCGAGTATTATTCCCACCCACCCTACCCAGGGTGGTGATTAAGTTGCAACCCAGACATGGGGCCGTTAGGATGACTTAATACAGTAAGTACAAGATCCTTCATGGCACAGGTGAGTGAGTATTCAATGAATATGGCTTATATGATACTTATTTCGATTTAGCAACATGGTTGACGAACTTGATATGTTTACATCGAATGATTAACATGGTTGACGAGTTGTTAATTGCGGAATAGCAGTCACGAGAGTTCGATATTACCATATATATATATATATATATATAAAGATTGTATTTCGTTTAGCACTGCTGACATGTTGCTACCTTAAAAAGACAGTACCATTTATAAAGTACCGGTATAGCAATATACCATTGATGTGAGTTATGGCGTAGTTTAGGTTATCAGCGGTCTGCCTTCAATAGCTATGGGTCATAACTCCTACCACTCTAAATCTGACGCTGTTATAACTTAAGAGTGAAAAGGCTATGCGTAGAAATATTTTGGCTTCCTCATCATCGGATAATTAGCACCCTCCACAACTCCCATATGTAATTAACAATAGTCTAAACAGTCACACTTTCAGTGTAAGTTAATTTGCCATATTTGGACACATACATAGCTAATTAGGCACACTCTCTCATACACATACAAATTCTTAAAAGGGACATTCTGGGCACCAATACAACTTTAATGCATTTGAAATGCTGTATTATTTTGCATGCTCAAATCTTTATAGTTATTGCATTAAAAAAAGAAAACATTAACAAGTTTTTGCAGAATGCTGCTCCATAAGCCTGCCTCTTTAGCCACACTTCATCACTCCAGAAAATGGCTTCCTTTTGAAATGTATGCACACACTGACAGCACTGAATGATAAGAACAAAACCACCCACATTAGAAGGTGAGGACAACCCGGGAGCCATAGTAAGCACATTACTTACTACCTGTTTATGGTTTCTCTGTCTGCAGCAAGGTTGTGAATTAAAAACGGCTAACTCTGCTGTTGGGGCTGAGACGGTGTGCATACATTTGATAAGAAAGTCTTTCTGGCATGGGGTGTATGTTTTTATGATGAGAGGCTTGTGGTGCAGCATTTGGCAACACACTTATTTTTGGTGCAAAAACTATAAAATTTGAGCATCTAAAATAAAAACAAATCAACATATTAATGAGGTACTGTCAAATGCATTAAAGTCTTATTGGTACCTACAGTGTCCCTTTAACAGACCCACTCCCATCTTCAAACTTGTGCTCAAAAGCCAAAACCGGAAACTGCAGAGAAAAGCTGCTAATTTGTGCAATCACCATATGCTTCTAACATTCATCAAGCAATTGCTGCTTCCTAGTTCCAGTTTACATTTTATTTTATCACACTTCTAAAAGAACCCCCAAGGTAAAACGAGTAATGTGGCTACCATTTGTTAGAATTTTTTTTTTTAGTACTTTTTCTATTTATTGTAATAAAGTTAATCTTATTTTGGATTGCAACTTGATTCTGCACTAGAGTAGGACCATGCTCTATTGCAGGGATAGGCATCCTTCGGCACTCCAGATGTTGTGGACAACATCAAGGATAATACTCTTACACCTATAATGCTGGCAAAGCATTATGGGATGTGTAGTCCAAAACATCTGGAGTGCCGAAGGTTGCCTATGCCTGCTCTGTAGGGTTCCTGCCTCTCCGACAGGTGTATGGAGCCTCCAGCCTTTATTGGTCATCTGGGAGTTAGTGTTGTCATGTGGATTGTCAGGCGTGTGTAACTTAGCAACACATGTTAAACTGGAAAACTAGCAATACAGTAGTTGTGAACACTAGAAAAAAAATTTTTAAGAGAAAAATCAGATAGTCCTAAGTAGCAGGAGCAGTCGACAGTGCCGCCCTTCTCCAGGCACTGTGTGTGAAGTGTGGGAGTTATCTCTCGCCTTTGCCGGTCAGGTAGTTTGGTCTGCCGGTGTCATGGTTCGCGGGGTGAATGGTACTGTGTTTTCTGGGTCCCATCTCTGTGTAGTGGTGTTTGCTGTGTTGTTCCCTTCTGGTAGTCCCAGCTTGGTTAGTACTGCAGGGGCTTCATTGGGTGTTGAGATCTTATGCGTTGTTCCGTTGTGGGTGATTAGCAGGGATCTGGGTGCACGCCAGCGATATGGCACCCCTGCGTTGCGCAGTTGGCTTGTGAGGTGGGTCAGTGTTCGGCGCCACTGGAGTGTGGCTCTAGTTAAGTCCTGGAAAAACAGCAGTTGTGCATGTTCAAAGTCCTGTGGGGTTACACCCCGTATTGCCGACATGATGTTGGCTTTGTCCTGTGAGGTGGTACAGCGTAGAATGACATCCCTGGGGGTTGTGCTGGGCATGGTAGCTGAGGGTGGGAGCCTGTATAGCCCTTCAAGGATTGTTTTCTTAGATGTCATTGGCGGCAAGATGGTAGCGAGGAGCCTCCTGACATAATGAGGCAGTTCATCGGGTGTGATGTCCGGGGGTACCCCACGTATTTTAATGTGATTGCGACGGGCACGATCTTCATGGAGTGACATTTGTAGGGAGAGTCCCTGCTGGGTGGTCTGTATTTGTTGTATCATTTCTTTTACTTGTGTGATGTCAGTTTGGATGTCCACGATGTTCTCCTCTGTTACCCGTACCTATTCTGTTACGTTGTGTAAGTCCCCTTTAAGTGAGCTCACATCTGTGGCCAGCGTTTTCTTGATGTCTTGTACCCAAATATATAGGTTCTGTTTGGTGGCCAGTGTGTTATCAGGTGGTGCCTGTGGTAGTGTCAGGGTGTACTCACTGTCTGCCTCCGTTTGTACAGGTGTTTGGGGTTCCGACCCGGATGGTATCAGGGCTTGTGTGGCCTCGGCGGCCATTCTGGAATGCGCCTGCCTCTGCAGCAAGGTCCCGATATCGGCTTGCACGGCTGAGTGGCCGGGCTGTGATCTTTGCGTGCGTCTTCCCATGTTTGTTGGGGTAGTGTTGTGGGTCGGCAGAGGATTGCTGGCTGGGTCCGGCTCCCTTTGGCCGTACCCTCCGTCCAGGAAGTACTCCAGTCCGGTGTTAGTAGGCGTGGGGTAGGCCTTAAGCCTCCGTTTCACCTTGCTAGATTGTGGAGTGTAAAGAAAAGGCATCAATATGTGCCTTCCGTTGTCTCGATGCCGATTTCAAGGTGGGTTTGGTAATTGGTCAGTCCCTTCTCAGGATGATTTGTTTCAAGGATTTAGGGAGCTGGTAGAAATGGCTGCTGCTCCGGATCAGGTTCCTTCCTTGCCCAGGAACAGATTTTTATGACCTATTCGCATACACAAAATGTTGCCATTTCTTTTAAAATAAATTCTGCTTCAGTAACTTCCTGTATGCTTTATCACTGAAACAACAGCTGTTACCAACTCTGTAGGTTTTGGAGGCAATAGTTGAAATGAAACATAGAACCATGAACAGTACCTAGATACTCTGCAAACCCAGGGGAATTAACACACTATCTGCAGCCATTTAGCTAAAATGATCATGGGGTCGAATATTCTTTCCACGAGATTCTCTTTATGACATCAGTGAAAAGACAATTCAGTGAGTTTTTTTGTTGACTCTCCCCAAACCAGGCTGCTCCCTGTGTTGCAGACAGACAGACTGCTCTCTAAAATAAGGAGGAAACAGACTGGAGGGAGAGCAATAAACCAGTTACAAAAACCCTAAAATTGTTTAAGTTAAACATTTATAGCCATTGCAACATTGCTGAGTATCATGTATAATGTTTATATACTATGTATTTACGGTGGTTTTTATCACATGATAAAATACAACAAAATTGCATATATACAGTTGCAAGAAAAAGTATGTGAACCCTTTGAAAAGATATGGATTTCCTCACAAATTGGTCATAAAATGTGATCTGATCATCATCTAAGTCACAACAATAGACAATCACAGTCTGCTTAAACTAATAACACTCAAAGAATGAAATGTTGCCATGTTTTTATTGAACACACCATGTAAACATTCACAGTGCAAGTGGAAAAAGTATGTGAACCCCTAGACTAATGACATCTCCAAGAGCTAAAATGGAGTGAAATGTCAGCCAACTGGAGTCCAATCAATGAGATGAGATTGGAGGTGTTGGTTACAGCTGCCCTGCTCTTTAAAAAAACACACACCAGTTCTGGGTTTGCTTTTCACAAGAAGCATTGCCTGATGCGAATGATGCCTCGCACAAAAGAGCTCTCAGAAGACCTACGATTAAGAATTGTTGACTTGCATGAAGCTGGAAAGGGTTATAAAAGTATCTCCAAAAGCCGTTGCTGTTCATCAGTCCACGGTAAAACAAATTGTCTATAAATGGAGAAAGTTCAGCACTGCTGCTACTTTCCCTAGGAGTGGCCGTCCTGTAAAGATGACTGCAAGAGCACAGCGCAGACTGCTCAATGAGGTGAAGAAGAATCCTAGACTTACAAAAGTCACTGGCAAATGCTAACATCCCTGTTAGCGAATCTACAATATGTAAAACACTAAACAAGAATGGATTTCATGGGAGGATACCACAGAGGAAGCCACTGCTGTCCAAACAAAACATTGCTGCACGTTTACAGTTTGCATAAGAGCACCTGGATGTTCCACAGCAGTACTGGCAAAATATTCTGTGGACAGATGAAACCAAAGTTGACTTGTTTGGAAGAAACACACAACACTATGTGTGGCGAAAAAAAGGCACAGCACACCAACATCAAAACCTGGTGGTGGGGGCATCATGGTTTGGGGCTGCTTTGCTGCGTCAGGGCCTGGATGGATTGCTATCATCGAAGGAAAGTGAATTCCCAAGTTTATCAAGACATTTTGCAGGAGAACTTAAGGCCATCTGTCTACCAGCTGAAGCTCAGACATGATGCCCCCACCACCAGGTTTTGATGTCGGTGTGCTGTGCTTCAGCTGGTAGACAGATGGCCTTAAGTTCTCCTGCAAAATGTCTTGATAAACTTGGGAATTCACTTTCCTTGGCACTCTTGGCATGTGAACAGTGATTTTTTTTTTTTTTAAATAATTAGCAGCAGTCTTGCGCATGAGGCTGATTTTAGCACTGAAATAATGGCGAGACAAACAAAGAGTAAATAATTCTGTCTTTGGTGCAAGTGACAAGAAGACACCATCACAATGAAATTTTTATATCACACCTTATATATTTATAACTCCTGGAGTTTTATGTTTGCTTTATATAACAGCTTTGAAACACAACTCAGGAAGATATGCAAAACCAGTGAACCACACATGGACAGCTGTTTGGTTGGTTAATACAATTTACCTAAACTCCAAGGAATCCATGTTTAAAATTTGATTCTTTGTTGAACACATTAACATATACCCACCCAGAATCCCTTGCAGTTGTAGCATCACTGCAAATGTGAGATTTATGTGGGAAAAGCAAGTCCTATGGGGGAGAGGTGGAGAGAGAGGGTTTGTGTCTGTACGTGCACAAAAATATGCCATTGTTGCACTTTTATTATATAACAGGAGTGTTCTAAAAAAAAAGATTAAAAGAACAGAACCTCTGAATTAGTTGGCATTGCATACATTCATAATCATGGACTTCAAAAGATCTGCACTGGGAACATTAATACAACTTTTCTGATAAGGGCTTTGATGTTAGCATGCTAAACAGCCCCTGCTGCTGGACTGAGCCAAGAACTTGATAACAAACAGCAGGAATTACTGGTGAGGCCTGCAGGTCTTCTGGAATGCAAACACAATAATAACAAACACACAATAAATGAGAATAGAAACAGGAAGTTAATCTTAACAAAGGCACAGCCTGGAAATCTGCCCACCCTTCAGATCTCCATCTCTACTCAACACATCTATATGAGGACATGTCACACTGAGCTTGGAAAGATTACATTGCCAACCTGACTTACCTAATGCCCACCTTGGGTCCGACAAGTGGTATTTGTGTAATTATATATTTTGGATTTAGATTACTGATCATTAATAAGAGTCCTCTAGACTGTCCGTGGACCAGCGCCGATCCGCAATAATTTATTGCCGGTCTGTGAGCTTTTGCTGAACGGCAATAAATTGCTGCAAGATATTTCCCTGGTGCTATGATCTTATGATAAAAGCACCGGGAAATGTGCCTCGTCTCCCCTGCTGTCTCTGCAGGACCAGAGGGGAGATCAGAGATCTCCCTCTCAGGCCCGCTCACAGTGTACTGCTGGCAGCCGGCAGGGGAGGGAGGAAGAGAGGATCCGGGGGAGCTCTTACCTGCAGCTCTGTCGGTTCTCCTCTCACCAGCTCGGAGCGTTGCCGTGGTTACTACGTCAATGTTCCGAATCTCGCAAGATGAAATCTAGCATATCCTGAGGCTGCTAGAGTTCACTCTCACCACAGGTACCACCAGGGCTTCCCCATCGGACCACCAGGGATTGCAGGAAATGTCCACCCTCCCAGGCAAAGGTAAGCAGGGAGGGGGGACAATCAAAATTACTATTTTTCTTTTAATTAAAAATATTTATATTTATGAATCTACTTTCCAACCCCACAGACCCACAATTATTCTCCCCATAAACACACTGCCCCCCCCCCCCCCCCCACCTCATACACACACACACACACAGCATCTCTCACAAATACCATTGGGTTTTATTTCTGGCTGATCGCGAAATATTGTTCCTCTTTTCACCAGTCCCTGGGTGCTAAAAGGTTGCAGAACACCACTTTAGGCTAAGTAATGATGGTACAATTGTCCCTCAATGTTCCACATATGTCATATGCCATTGTTTCATTGTACCATTTACTTTTTAAATTTTCTACACTGTTTACTTTTTGAAAAGTCAACAATAACTGATACAATGAGAAAGAAAAACAAGAGGAAGTAAGGCAAATTACTTTGCACATTTATTTTATGGGGATTTTAGATACTGAGATAAAGTATGACATACAGAGATATGTGTAATTCTATTTGCTCTTGTTCAAATTTATTTTTATTTATAAAATATTTTACCAGGAAAGATACATTGAGATTTCTCTCGTTTTCAAATATGTCCTGGGTCCACATAACATTGCATTGATACAATCGGGTACAATAAAATACAAAAACAATATTAATACACAATATATAATTTTTTTTTAACATAGAATAGGTAGGAAATATATAATCAACTATGACCAATGCATTCTGTTTTGCAATATGTAGAGAGGGATCTCTTAAAGGACTGTAGGCTTGGGGAAGATTTTAAAGTGTGCGGGAGGTCGTTCCATAATTGCTCTGCTCTGTAGGAAAAGGAGGATCAAGCCACTTTCTTTTTGTATTGAGGTAGACTAAATAAAGTGATGGTACTGGATTGAAGATTATAGGAGGTGGGAACAGCCAGGGGGAGCATTCTTCTCAGGTAGGGTGGGAGCTTCCAAGAAAAGCTCTTAAACACAAGGCTGGAAAGATGAAGGTATGTCTGGATTCCAGAGACATCCAGTTTAGTTCTATTAGCATGTCACAATGGTGGGTCCTGTAATTATATTGTAGCATAAATCGGCAGTTATACAATGTTTATTAAGGTGGGCTTGCGGTGCAGGTGCATATACTACATCCCCATAATCAATGATTGGCATTTGCTGTACAATCTTTTCCTTTACTGTAGGGCTTAGGCAGGATTTGTTTCTGTACAGGGCACCTAGTTTTGGATAAAGTTTAGATGCAGGTTTTTCTGTGTGGGGGCCAAAAGATAGATTGGGGTCTAACTACATACCCAAGTATATGAGTGGACTGCGGTCAGTGTGCTATTTGATTTTGTTTTAATGGATAGGTGGGAATTGTGTCATTTGTGTAATTTAGGTACTATTCCAAAGATCATTGACACTTTTGACAGTGTTTAGGAAGAGTTTGTTTTTTGCGATCCACTTTTCTACCTCTGTAAACTGGTCTTGGAGCACAGCCTCAATGTACAATAGTAGATGTGCCCTTTATTAGATTACAGCTGTGGTTAACTTCTGAGTGGGCAAACAAAATTTTGACTTTATTAAGTCCCCAATAGTTGGAACAAAAAAAATTATATATATATATATATATATATATATATCACACACATCAGGACCCAGAAAACAACTTACATTAAATAGTGTACAGTAGTGTACATAGCGCAAAGGAGACTGC